TGTGTATGTATGTATGTATGTATGTATGTATGTATGTATGTATGTATATATGTATGTATGTATGTGTGTGTGTGTATCTTTGACAGCTCGAAATAATGAAAGCTAAGCAAACCTATTGTTACATTTTTCAATGTAATTTTTGTTTTACTTTTTGTCCTATGTTCTGGTTTTACACATATACATATATGGGAAAAGTGACAATAAGCAAAAAAGCGAATGTTAAGGAAATGGCAAACAAGGTGCGAGCCTTCCGATAACGAAAGATGAACCTACCCCTGAATTATACTTAGTGAATTCCTATGGCTTTGACGATGGAAGTGCCTTCAACCTGCCCCATGCCGATAAAATTTTGAAGCCAAACTAGTTAGTAGCGAAATACTGCAGAGTAAGATCGAGCAAGCCAAGACCAAGAATTAATATATGCTCAACACTAAAAAATTACTGCAGCAATGGTATTAAAGTCATTACGCTTATAAAAAGGCCTGCAAAGCACGAGCTATATACGAGTCCAGTGTTATTTGGCAAAACTTTCGACGCAGAACAAAAGTTGTTTGTTCCCGTTTGATTTTTGGTTTTCGTTTTTTTTTTTTTCAATTTTTTTTCTTCTCATTTCGAATTTGATTTAGAGTTTTATTAGGTAGGTTGCAAAGCTCTTCTCGCTGTAAAATTACAGTCGCACACATATATCTATATATGCATATATATGTATATACTGGCGACGCAATATTTAACTATGGTTCCGGAGAGAGGATTACCGTCAGACGTGGCGAGGGTTTATGTGCGGTGCAAGTCCTATACTAACTTAAGCTATTAATGTGAGAAAAAGAATAAAACATATATATAAGGATAAGGATTCTTCAAACTTTTATATATGTATTATTAAAGATATTGTCTGTTTAAATAAATTTATGCACTTCGTTTCGGAAGTATACAGGCATTAAATATTATGCGTTCGCATTACATGAATTACATTATATACACACGGATATATTTACATTCATATGTATGCATATGTGCGATATAATATTCATTAACGATGAACAATAAAATTTAATTAGCTATGTGCGCCTATTTTAACGCTACGCTATGGAGGCTGTTTGTTACAAGAACGTTTTCTTTCCATGCAATACGTCCGTGCATGTTAGAAGTAGGCTCAAGTTAGGCAAGAATAGTATTTAAGCTCGTCATTCGTCAGCTCGTAAAAGCCGTAAGTCTTTCTTCTTAGATAAAAAGTTCTCTCAATAAAAATTGAGTCCGTTGTTTAAGTAGCAAAGAGACCAAAATAAAAATATCAATAGTTTTAGTAATCTCACGTCAGCAGTCGATCCTGTCGTTGACGAACTATAAATTCCCTTATAGTTATCAAACTACGCAGTAAATTCTATGTTATATACGAGTCGTTCTCTTTACGAATATGTTCTCTGCAATGCCTCTGCACAGCTTATTTTGGATATTTTATCATAGTAATAACTCAAAACTGGTATGCGAGAATTAAAATGCTGCCTGCATGCCATTATGCCTGCGCCTGCCATATTCCGCTTACCTTGCTTAACTTTGTTTATTAAGGAAACACGAATCTCGATAAATGCTTGATTTAAACGAAATGCAATCGTATCCCATATTATTTACGTATGCCGAACGATTTATGAGAGATCCATCTTTTATTATACCGCTCGATATGGAATTATTTGCTGACCAATTGAAGTCAGTGTGTTCGCTTGTTTCTCTTATATCTGTCTATAGACATTTGTGTTCAAGCTATAGGCCACAATTCTCTAGATATTTGAATGCATTTTTATACAAATAAATGTTTCGACTTAGGGACGAATTCCGTTGAAAGTGTAATAAATGTAAAAATTTTTACGACCCTACCTCAGGTAAATTGCTATATTGAAAAAATCGTAGCGTAAAAAAAAAAAAAAATTCAATTCGAATAGTTGCCCAACGAAAATCATAGAAAGTTAATACTTCGACATACTAAAAAATTTATATGGAATGGGAACATTTTTCCTCCGTACAATTCCATAGAATTTTTCTGATAAGAAAATTAGGCTTTTTACAATCACAAGGTCCAAAATAGTGTTATCGTATATAAACATGCCGTGACCAGTTTGTCATGTATAAAGGAGTACTTCTTGGCCCTGACATGTTAAGAAGGTGTAAGTTTTAGTATTTTACTAGTTGGAAACAACGTGAAACAACGTTGCGGATTAAGCCCGTCCTTTAAGTAACCTAATAATTTTTTTCATTTCTTTTCTTCACACGGTATCAATAATAACATAATTTTCTCCAATATATTCTTCATGAGAACCGTTACATGAAAGGTGATCCAAAATGGGAAAAATTTAACAAAGTTAATTGAATTGTTGCGTCGAGATATGTACATTTACGAAATTATATTTAAACGCCTGGAAAATGGTAGCCTTTGGGCTAATAGATATCAGAGGGACAAGTGAATGAATAAGAGGACAGACAGGCTTAGAAAATGAAAATGTATTGGGCATGATTATATATTGGGCATGAAACGGTATGGGTCTATCGCAAAATTTCCTCAGTGTTCCACAGTCATTCACCCGCACAAACCTGAGATACCTATACCATAAATGGCACAAGGTCTATAAACGGATGGAAAATGCATAGAACTTTTTTGAGAGTAAAATATCGGTATTATAAATTTGGATCGCATAATGTTTTGGATCTTCTTTCACTTCAACTTTACGTGCAGTTATTTTTGTAAAATTTTATTTTTCATTACCATTACGAAAATCAAAGGCACTCAATGTAAATTGTGTGTATCAGAATCAAAAAACTAAGAAATTTTTGCCATCTGCACTTCCGACTGTACTTTAACTGAATCATGCGAGATCTGCAATTATCTTAGTAAAAAGGGATAGGAATATTCCTATGACAGTGGCCCCTTTTTCAGTGTCTTCATCGAAAATGAGAGAATTCCAATTTCTCTATTTAAATCTGATCCTATTGACAGATGCGCTATATTCTGGGAAATTCGTACATCAGCCTTAGAACTGGAAGCTGTCCCGAAATCTAAAAATGTCTCAATCGCGTAGACCTATTGTCCTCCAATATCTCTACTACTTTGTCTCTCAAAGTTTTTGCAAAATTTATCTCTGTTACTTGAAATCAACACCTTGACCAGAAAATTGTATCGATTACTTCACAACCAACCCAATTTCTGAATAAAGTCATATCGCAATTTTTTCAAACGACTTTGAGGCAACATGTGACAGGACGTGTCGTTATGATGTTTTAGGCCTCATGAAATTATGTAATCTTGGATCCAAACTCTTCCACGATTTAAAGTGAGAGTCAACAATTATATCCGAAACTTAGCGCCATAATGAGTGATAATCAAAAAAAAAAGAAGAAAATGCACATTTGTAGAAAGCGTCTACGTAATGCAGAAAATCGGCTGATGCATATAAATACAATTTGGCAATACAAAATGTGCGGACGTTCAACACTCTGGGGCTCGCGTTCTCCCTCAGATACCGCTGAAAACTACACTGCCTCAAGTTGAAGAATTCCATTTTAGCTAAGGTGAATTTTATGCAACACATTGCTTGGAAAGGGCATTCATAGCAAAGTCATTGCCAAACTTCTTAGCTCACAAAAGTCTATTGCCGGCGAGGATGTGTGTCGACCAAGAAAATCAAAAGATCGCCGTCTATTGTTTTTGTTTATATATTATTTTACTCAAACATTATTTTATTTATTTATTTATTTATTCCACTTATACAAGAAACTCAACTAAAACAAAATGGCAGTCGAGTTCAATTGACTCTTAAGTAAATCTTAAAATTATTTAATAATAAAACTTAGTATAAGTACAATAAAACAAATAAGGAGGAAAAAAAAAAAAAAGCATGTACACAATTAGCATAGAGCCACGCCCACAACCGATACAGGTCCAAATTGCAAGTGAACCCCTAAGCCATCGCAAACATGCATAAGCTTGGCAACCGATAATTGTTAACAACAAATTAATTTTCGACTCATAATGACAAAATCTAAGGTTAAATCAGTTTAAGTACGACATAGGTAAATCGCGCTTGTTGAGCAATATTGCTTTAATAGACTTTAAAGAGTCCGTTAATGAGAATAGATGATAGACATCATTTAGGTTCTTGCAAACAACTCTGAGCGGGTTAAACAGTTCAAAGTTATATTTGCATTGACTAAGCTTTATCAACATAAAGTACCTAGAGAAGCGGTTAGGGACATTAAAGCAAATCTCACGAAGTAATGCGGGCGAATCAATTGCACCATTTATTAATTTGATTAGGAAGGAAACCCCAAGAACAAATCTACGTTTCTCGAGTGACGGTAAGGATAACAGAAGCAACCTATTTTCATAGGGTGGAAGAGGGGAAATCGGGTCCCAAGCCAAATTCCTAAGTGCAAACAGCAAGAATTGCTTTTGTATAGATTCAATTGAACCAACGTAGCATCTATATGAAGGAGACCACACAACAGAGGCATACTCAAGAATAGGTCTAACCAAACACGTGTAAAGCCTTTTAGTAATATAAGGATCATCAAGCTCTTTGGACCACCTCTTTATAAAACCAAGAGCGGACCTAGCTTTGCTTAACGAGGACTCAATATGCAAATTGAAACGTAACCTATAATCGAATAGAACGCCTAAATCAATGAACGAATCGACGTCTTCCAACCTGTGCGAATCAATGAAGTATTGGGTACTAAACGACTTCCTTCTTAAGAAAGAAAGCTTCTTACATTTATTTAGATTTAGCTTCAGAAGATTGAGAGAGCACCATGCAACCAAATTGTTCAAATCACTTTGAAGATGATGTGATTGCGATTCTACGGAAAAAGAAGTAAACAGTTTCACATCATCAGCATACATTAAAATCTTACTGAATTTAATCACGGAGGGCAAATCATTGATGTAAAGATTAAATAAAATAGGTCCCAAGTGGCTACCTTGAGGTACGCCAGACGTCACGGGAAATTCATCCGAGGTAATGAGGTTAAACAAAACCCTGAATGATCTACCATACAGATAAGAGCTTAACCATTCAACTAAGAAGAGAGGAAAGCCAGAGGTCTGGATTTTAAATCTAAGAAGTCTATGATTAACCATATCAAACGCCTTGCTAAAGTCAGTGTAAATGACATCAGTGCGAGAACCACTAGAAAAAGCCTTGAAAACATGAGAAGTAAACTCCAACAGATTGGTCACCGTAGATCTTCCCTTTCGAAAACCATGCTGGAAAGGAGAAATATACAATTTCATGGAAAAGGCTATATGCTGAGCCACAATTCGCTCGAACAGTTTAGGTAAGACACTCAACTTGGCGATGCCTCTGTAGTTCTCTACAAGTTGCCTACTACCACTTTTGTGAATAGGAATAAGGAAAGAAGTCTTCCAACACAAAGGGAAAACACCTAAATTCAAAGACTTATTAAAAATCTTTGAGATAACATCACAAAGCTCGCCAGCACAAGATATAAGTACACATGAGGGGATGCCATCGGGTCCAGGCGAACAATTATATTTCAGAGAGTTCAATCCGTCATTTCAAACGTCATTTTCCGATATAACAAAGTTAGGAATTGAAACCGAATTAGAAATCGAATATGGATAATTTTCCGATAAATCAAAATTGGCAGTTGAAAAGTTCTGTCGGAAGTATTCCGCAAAGAGATTTGAGGATTCAAAATCATCCGAGGACTCGGAGCCATTAAAAGACACAAACGACGGGTTTATGGAGATTTTTCTTTTGGAATTAACGAACTTAAAAAAGTATTTAGGGTTAGCAAACAAGGAGGATTTAACAAACTGAAGGTATCTGCAGTAGTATTGGCGGTTGAGGGAATTAAATTTATGCCTTGCAACAGAGTAAGCGAACCTAAAATTGAATATTTGGCTTTAACCTACGCAATTTTTAAAATGTTAATCTGATGGCATTTTCCTCTGTATGTAGAAAAAGAAAAGAAAACACTCCAAACTATATGTTCAGGAATCTAATTAAAAAAAAAAAAAAATTTAAGTGCCGTAAAATGACGGTTGTCATCTTCTGCATATGGGCGGCTCTGTCACCTGCTTATGAAGTGGTAGTCGTTTCAGGGCAAGTTCCGCTTAATCGCATCGTTCACGACGATCTTTCAACCTAAGAAATTTGCTTTCAAGAAAAAACTCAAAACTGTTATTATCACCGACGGCCGACGGTTGTGTTCAAAGCTATCCGGAATCTCTCGACTTTCAGCTGGGACGCCATTAACAAGTCAGGGAATAGGATCGAGACGCTTTGGGTGCCTAATCGTATCGAGCAATTTATTGGGAAATGACCAAGCTGATCGAGTGAGATGAGTCTACCAATTTTACACCTCTGTTTATGGGCGGTATGTTGGACTTTCAGAGACAAAATTAAGGAAACAACCCTACAATACTATCGTCAGGACTACTCTGCGGTTAACATCCATCTGGCACCCAAATTATATCGCATTAATATTGAAAAACTGAACGCAAATCAAATCAAATCAAATCATTAACTTGAATCGACTTCTCCTGCCAGAAGTTATTGATTGACAAAACTTGGATTTTCGATAGGAAATTATGCATAAATTGAAAGGATCATCTTTTTATATAGTCTGTCCGGTGAACGAGTTAATACAATGTAAATGCATATTAGTTCATGTCAGCACAACTCAAATGGATAGCTTTAACCAATGGATAGCTTTAACATAATCAATGACCTGATACACGAACTTATTTCATTTTCTTACAAGCAAGATTGCGTCGCACAAGAAAGATTGCGTTTGAAATAGTTTTTCACAATTATTTTAAAAATAATAAAATTTTATTAAGACAATGCAAGCATGGTCGTAATGCACTTACCTTCATAAGACAACACCGTTAAAACAATGTCTTCGTTTATTTATTGACAACAAATTTGTTTTCTTTGGTTTTATTTGCACAATTTAACGCAGAGCCAATTATGATCACTACAAACAGTATTTGATTGTTTTCCTTTTTTTCTTTTTCTTTTTTCCTTTTAACAAAACAGCGATTTAATAATAGGGAGAAGCACGCTTACAGTTGCTGTGGTGGTTGATTATAGTATAGGTCGTTTTTTCAAACGAAATTTACATGTGTTTAAGGGTATTGTGCAGGCAACGCGATTAGCAGCAGCAGCACACAGCATAATAACACATGGCACTGCAACCTAGGAATCGCAAACATAATATTTCGAAATATATTGCATTAATTGCATGCTACACGTACAGCATATTTAAAGGGACAGCTTTAATAATTGAATGTCTAATAGATAAAAATGAAAAAAATAAATAAATAAATAAAAAAAATACACCCGCCAACGGGAAATAATTTTATTATTAGCAACAAACTCTACGCTAATTCAATTGAGAAAAAGGATCCATTTACTGAGATAACAACATGTGTTTGTGATGATGTTTTTAATAAACGCAAATACATGCATACGCATACTGATACCTATGCCCATATTATATATAATGCGATAAATATATATGTATACATGAATGGACGTGTTAAAGGTTAAGCATTTGCACGATAAGCTCATAGGATTAAACTGTATTTTCTCTATAAGTGACTAAATGTTTGAATGTATGCATCGATATACATATATATATATATGTATAGCTGGCATTTTAGTTAAGAATACAATTCGTATACAATTACGAAATGCATCACATATGCAACCTACATGCATTTTATCCGATATCTAATTATCTTAAATGCCTTTGAGGCTGACTGCTCACCCACACATACACAAGCAATCTCGCATTTATACACACACACACACACACATTTTGACACAATTTGACAGTTAGCAATGATGTGGTGATGCGGTTTATTTCGGTATCTTAATTGCCTGTTATTTTAGGTTTCTTGGATGGGTCAGTCGAATGTTGCTGCACTTATGCCTTAGTATTTACGTGTCGTATTTAAGCACATTTGTGTGTCTGCATGTCGTCAGTCAGTTTAGTTGTGTATGGTTTATAATTTGGTTTAAGTATGCAATAGAAATGTTAGTAATAGTAAGGGTAAGCGTAAAAGAGAGAGAGAGAGAGAGAGAAAGGAATAGAGAGACAGAGAGAGAGAGAGAGAGAGATAGAGAAAGAGAGAACGAAAAAGATAGAAGATGGGGCAAGAGGACAGATATATATATATATATATATATATATATATAGGCAATAAGTGCACGTTTGCTTGCTTGATTGGTAGTAGTTTTGATAATGCTTTTTATTATTAATACTATTTTTACAAATTTTTTTTTCTTTTGTTTTGTATTTATTTATCGGCTTATTGTTTATTGTTGTTTTCGATCTTTTGTATTTGCTTTTTTTGTTTTTTTCTTATTTTTTTTTGTTTGCATTTACTTGCTTTGCTTAAGCGTGCCCTGATACTGAACTTGATAAAATTGCACAGCCAACTGTCGAATCAAGTCAAAACGAAACTATTTAGGCATACGGCAAATCATAAACTTTTGTCCGACAATATTCGTTTACTCACGCAATTTAATGCCAACGTTTAGTGAATGTTGCTTTTACACGCTTCTAAAGTCCATCTTACGAAAACGTATAAAGACAGAAAATGCACACTTATACGGTATATACCTGTACAACTACATATACATAAGAACATTGTACATGTAATGGCCTTTAGATTATTATGCTTTGCCGAATCATCGAAGAGAGTAAGAGCGTGAGAGGTAGTTGACGAAATGAAAAGAAGAAAAGAAAAAAAACGTTAGCTTAACTCTACATAAAGGGTGGCATTCGAGTGCATTTTAATTGATTTTTTTCTCATTTTACTGTCTACAAATGCATGCTTGCACTAATGCATGTACGTGTAAGCGTGCGTTTAAGCACATGTACGTTAACATTTACCACCTATATATGAACGCATTTGTGTGCATTGTCTGTGCATTTGCAAAAGTATGGGTTTTTTTGTTTTTAATAAAGTTCTCTCGTGTGCTTGTCATCATTTTCATCGCCGCGCCATCGTCATTACCATCATTATCATCACCATCATCATCATCATCATCATCATCATCATCCTGTGTAAGCAGCACGTACAGAGAATTACGTACACATGCATCGCATAATAATTTAGCTGAACTCTGGTGGCGTATAAGTATCAAAATATTATGTATACGTTCTGGGACTCAATTAACTAGTTTCTCTCTTTCAGTTACTCTCTCTCTCTCTCTCTCTCTCTCTCTCTCTCCTTCTCTTACGCTTTTTAACTAACTTGTTCGTATTTTCTTTCATTACAATTTTCTGATTGCCTTAGTTGTCAGAAATGAGTATGAGTTGAGTACATTCTATATACAGCGATGTATTTTTCCGTAAGATGGACATCCATTTTTAAAATATGCAAAATTTTATGTATAGATATGTACATGTGCAGACATATATAGGTTTAACTTGCAAATAGTTTTGGAGCTAAATAATAATTTGAGTGAGAGTTTTCCTTCATTTTATGCTTTTCATATATGCTATTAGAATGAAAGTTATTAGAATTAACTTTTTATGTTTTTATTGCACCCGTTACTTAGTCAACACATATTAACATGAAAAGTATAAGAAATTTTCAATTGATTCTCTTAATACTATGTATATTTTTCTGATATTGTTTTTATTCTTGAAATTAAGTAAATCAAAAAACAATACATACTTTTATTATTTATATTACATTAATATGTACATATATATATATATTTTTTTTTTTTGGTATGTTGAACAGAGATGGACTAAGCCAATAAATTTGTGGCTTATATGTATATGTACATATATACACCTAATTGGAATGAGCGACAACCACGATTGCAACATGTCGCTTTGCCCGCGCTGTCCTCTGTCTGCTGATAACGGTGCTCTATTTTAATAAGCAATAAACTTTTTGGGTTTTGATTGGCTCCCGTCGGTATTTGACAATGACGAAATGATTGGAGATAAACGAAATATTGGCAAATTAACAACTTACCTCTTACGGAAATCTAGAAAATATTTCAAATCAACAATTTATTTGTTATTGTCATTAATCAAAGCTATTTCTATTTAGAAACAAGAAAGATGCAGCCACTATCCTTAAGATAAATCAATGTAAAAAAAAACACTATCTGTGTACAAACACATTACGCATACCTGAGATCTAGAAGCGCGAGGTCATTTAGCGGTTAAAAGTTGCACACGTCTATTTTGTCAAAGTCCAACCTACCTACATATACATCGATTACTAGATATTTCAAAATTTTATAGAAGCGACGATTTCAAGCGCAATCTCGCAGATACATGCAATAGCCGGTAGGCGTATGTCTTAAGACTATATGTCGATATAGTATACATTGAATTTTTTACTTGTTGGCCTTATGTCATCTACAAGCCTAAGCTTAAGTATCATTGTAAACTGGATCCACAATTTCTATGCAAGTATTAAAGTTAAGTTTTTTATTTATCGTCTCGGCTTCGCTTCGGATATTAATTTTAAGATTGTGACTTTCCGTGAACTTTGCTTTCAAAACAGGCCAGAGAATAAAGTCTAGAGGCCATAGGACGATTTTGATTTTAATTCTGATGCAGTTAGATATCGATAGACCGCAAATAGTTCAAATTTCATTTTCAATTACAAATTTCAATATATGATGAGTTTCCGTGCTGAGAATGATGTGATGGCCTTAATCGTTAATTAAGTTGAATTTTGTAATTTGTAGCTTGTAGATCAACGCTAAACTTAAAATTTTTTAATTATTTTGCGTAATGGGATGTGCATCGCTCTGCAAGGCGCTTCGTGTAATGTCTTCCTTGTTTGTAGTTTGCTTGATCGCGCGTCTAACATATATTGATGATGCATTATTGCGCTCGCGCGCCTGCGAATTACGCTACAGTTTGTCGAAACCACGTTCAGTAGGAATTGTCTCAAAGTAGGTTTGATTCGTTATATTCTTAATGCCTTGACTTTATTGAATAAGTCAAAGGATACGTTATGTTTAATGTGTACATTAAACAAAAAGGAGAAAAAAAATCGTGCATAACATATCGAAGGAATTATTCCTGATTGAAAGAGGAAGTTGCTCACTCACTCTCTCTCTCTCTCTCTCTCTGTTAATAAATAATAAAATCTTATTGTTTTTTGAATTCTATTTATACAGAAAAACTTGTACTTGCACTGGTCTAATATTTTTGTAGGCACTTAAACAGGGAGAAAAACTACGTATTCACGTAGATGATATGACATTTACTCGGATAATGTTCAAACAAAAATAGAAACAAAACTTTACTTTAGAAACCTAATGGCTGAATAGTTAACGTGCATGCACAGAAACATAAACATGCAGACACACGAATACAATGTGCATGTGTATGCATACTGCCAAGATCTATGTAAATTTACTTTTGTCAAAGCATCTGTACATGTGTTACATGTACACTGGCCCGTTCGAAGGTACACATTCATGCCATACATTTATGCCTTCACTTGTGTAGATATACACAAAAATTTTTTACAAAACCTAAGTGCATACAATACCAAAAAAAAGAAAAAAAAGGTAAAAAGGAAGAGAAATGCAAAAAAAAAAATGAAAACAAACAAAAAATGGGTTCTTTCTGCCTGAAGATATATATATATATATATATATATATATATATATGTACATATATAATTTTTTTTTCGTTTGTATATAGTTCCTCGTTATCTGTCATATTTAACTTACAACAAAAGCACACGACAAGGATAATGTTAATACCCACATTATTGCAAGATAAAATATACTAATTTTCTCATTCTGTTGGTAACATCCATATTGCGTATTGCATAGGTTCGAGTCCATAATCAAGTCAATTGCAATAGCAGTTAGAGTTTCACATATTGCTTCTGTGCAAAAGATCACATCAACAGTTTCTATCTTAATGCAATTCTAAATGCAAGCTTGCGGTGGTTGCAATGTAAACAAAAAAAAAAAAAAAAAAAAAAAAAAAAAAAAACCCGCAACACTTGGCATTTTGAACAAAGGACTACAAAATGACGTACTTTCCCTGAATATGTGTGGTGGAAATAATAACAGATCCAATCAAGAGAGAGTTCAAACTAAAAAAAATACTCGTCGCCAGTCAAAGTTAGAGCGAATCTCCCGTTTATATGGCGGCAGTGTTCTAATCGTGCCTTAGGTACTCAATCTCCTCCAGTCAATGATCACAACTGCGAAATATGCGTTTCATACTACCGGTTCACTGAAGTATTAACGTACTGTGGAATCTGCTGTGTTACTACATAAGCTTTTCCACGATTCGTCCATTAATCAAGCCCTCTATCAATAGTCCCATAGGGAGCAATCATTGAAAAAAAAAAGGTAACGAAATAATTAATTAGTGGATGTTTTTGTTTTTTGTGTGTTGACTGGCTATTCAGGGGATGTCTCCTGTGCTTGCGAGCACGAGTGTTATAGGTAAATATACGGAACGGTCGAAAGGAGATATGCAGATGATTCACGGACGAGTAGGTAGGAATACCGCGGTGGACATATTTTTTTTTTAAATCTTTTTAGAACACTAGCGCTGGACGTACTTATACACAAACACCATATAACCCACATTGCGCCGATGCTCGAGAGTATCGAGCAGTTTTGAACATGCTTTCGTCACCCATGACCACCGGAACTTTTCGGTACACGCGGTCGAGCATCCCCAAAGACTATTTGCAGGCTTGCGCCCACACACGTGACGACAAAGGTTTATAGTCTTTACGATCATAGTCTTCACAAACGAATTGTCTTTGGAACAATTTAAAGCTGCACCATTCGTGACATCAATAGAGAACGGTCAACTGAAGCGAGAAGAGTGTTTTTGAGATCGACATTTTTTCAACTAAATTTCCCAAACTGTTTTCATAGCAATTGTCTCAATTAGCGCGTCCTGGCGTAAGAAGAGACGCACCTTTCCTAAAAACAATCAATAGTCTCTGATTAAGATTTTGACGTTAGTTATGAATTCGACTAGAGAGTGATAAATTTTCCTGCTACCGTCTGCCTATCTAAATTTGCAATAAGTAAAGTGCAATATGTTAGATATGACTTTTCAATACCGCACATAACGTATCCCCAACAATTTTCACTCTTTTCCTTCGGATAGTTCATAGTCTTTATGATCTAGTGAAGCACGAAAGAGGTTTTCCGTTAAAGTACTACCGTGTCCCAAAATATAGGACCGGTCTAATTTTCCCTTTTTCAAATCTATTCCGGTCTCTTTTTGCGAATAGGTTCATGCTAACGGCATAGAACACTCAAGCAATTTAACAGTTTGGCCCGGCGGAAGGAATTCATAGGGCACAACACCAGATATGACAGATGTCTGTCACAGTGCTACCAATATGCAAAAAAAAAGACAATATTTTCAACTTAAATATTGATCACAGTATTAATTGAAACAGTTTTTATTAACAACAGTTTGATTTTTTTTCTTTATTCTTTCCTTTTTTGGCGAAATGCTAACCAATCACATAAAAATCATATATTTTTTTATTAAATCCCTTAACTCCTTCCTCTACTTAGTTATTGGCACGCAGATTAAGTGATTTTTCTTTGGCTTTTGTAAATTGTCAAATTTGCATCAGTCATACAGCACGTGGCGTACAGCTCCTCTAGTTACACGGCTCCAGCGAGAAGGACCGCATTTCTCTAATATAATAAGAAAATAATATTTTTCCATAATTTTCCCAAATAATTACATGATCTGTTTTTGTTCAAAAATTTAGTTTCTCCGAAACTTTGGATTTAGCTTTCTCCTTTATTTGGCGCACCTGTATACGAATAATAAAAATAATTGTGAACTGCATCTGTTCGAGTTTACCCAATAATTTACGATTCGATCCGATGCGATTCGATGCGATGCGTTTCAATAGTTACGAATACTTTCAAAGTAATCCTAATGCTAATTGCAATAATGGCCATGTGGATCTAACTATATGAAAATTCTTCTTAATAAATATCTTTGGGCACTTAGCATTAAATATTATTTTATGAACTTAATTTAATTGGCTTATAATCTATTAATATGTTGTGGTTTACTTTATATATTAAACATTCTTAAAAGTCATTTAATAAGTTATGTAAATGTTTGTTTATATGTTTTTGTCACAACGTTAGCATTATTTTAACATTTCATTGAATGCGCTATACAATGCTTTATACAAAGATATGAACACAATTAAAATATGTACACATATATATATATATATATATATATATCTATTACATATATATACATGTTCTTGTCATCCTATTTATTGCCCATAAAGCTGATAAGTTATAACCATCGATTCATTCCATCATATCCGTTTCATAAATATTTTATGCAATCGTTGCATTTTCATTTTGCATTTATGAATTCATGAAAATGCTGCTATTCGATGACAAACGCTCCATAAAAATTATGTGCAATAAAATATTTACATAAATATTTGCATTTCCATTACACTTGTACAACTTAAGTGATGTTTTTCGTTTTCAAAAATAAAATATCAAACAATTGAAAAAATCCTCGAACTGAATATTCCTTACGCATAACATTGTCGCATTGTGACACATAACTCACTTATTAGTTAACGGTGCTTTTTTTCCCTCTTCATCGTCATTTCTGATCAAAAGATCTACCGGGTTAATGGAAATAGGATTTGTACAGCGCCATCTACAAAGAGGCCTGAGATATCGAAATTAAGCCAGTTTTTCTCATTAATTTTTAGCCAACTTGTTGAGGCCGTTTTATGGCGAAGCCTGTGAAAAAGAATAAGTAAACAAACCGTGAAAAAGCCTCTTAGAGCAAAAAAAAAAACCCTGTGTTTTGTAGCCCATTTGCGTAGGGAGTGGCATTTTATGGCATTATCTTACTTGGATTCGCAAGCACTTGCAACATCTGATGCACACCACGCGTCTTTGATTCAATCTTAATTTATTAAAGGATATCGCGAAATTTACCTAAGGTTTGCATAAAATACAATCTGGAGTTATTTTCTTTTTAATTGGGTTTTTTTTTTGTAATCGTAACGTAAATAGGATAGGGTTATGCATGAAATAGAACATCGGGGAAATGACCTTCACGACCTTGCTAACACATAGGCACTTTTTTATGAACGCTCTTCATGACCATTTTGCGTAAAAGTGGGCGAATTTTTGCTAATGAACCATCGGATGTCCCTCTTTAAAAATCCAGGTTGCTGGCATAAGCTTTTGACTTTGAACACCACTGTAACAAGAAATGCAACGTTGTCAATTACTCTCTTCACAGTTGACAATATTGCGACAATATTTTGCACGAAATGGACGAACTGTGGCTGCGAAGCTTTCATTATTATTTGAAATATTGTTCAGCGATGAAAAGGCTTCGTTTTTTACTAACCCTAAACAGTCAGCTGTCAGTTGGGTCTTTTCTTGATTGCCGATACTTTACCGCAAAAATGGCGGCAAATTCAAATGTCTCGTGTATTCGGGGATACCGCATGAAATAATAGCGGAGAAGAGAACTCGGCCTCACTGCTCTGTTCTATTCCGTTCTGATAAACTGAATTTCAAAATAATTCTGCTAAAGCTATAACCTTTTGTTGTTTTTGCTTGATATGACTACTCGCTTACTTTTCTTCTGAAACTACGGAGTTGCGTGAACTCGCTGAAATCATTTTCGGTGTTAACCGCACTATTGCATGTAAGTATGATATGCAATAAGATCGCAATTCTTGTTCGTAAAAATTTTTTATACTAGGTATTTACAAAAATTTTGAACCCCTTTGCACTTAAAAAAGGCATTTATTGTGGAAAATTGTTGGGATATATATGTTAATCAAAATAGTTTCCATCGTGTTCTACAACATTTTACAATATTTTTGGCAACACGGCAACTGACCTGTAGAAGCGGTAACCAGGAGACGCCATGTCCGGTACGTATGCTGGATGTGGCAGAGCTTCCCATTCGAGCTACGACGGCGTATCCAGGACAACTCTTGCAACGAGTAGTGAAAAAAAATTGGCATTTTCACTCAATTCGTGTCGCCAGTTTTAATCCGTTGAACCCAAAGCCGACAATTGCGATATGATGGACCAGCATCACCTCTGAACGTTTGATCATTTTATGTAGAGAAAGGTCATAGGTATTTCCCATCGCTGATCAAAACTTTTGCAAACAGCTAACAGATTTGAGATCGTCTTTTCTCCTAATCTGATAATGTGGTGTTCATCAGGCGGTATTCATATGCTTATAAGCAATAAGCCAATTATATATCCGATTCGATGCATAAATTGAATGATTTGAATCGATGACGCGGAGCATGTAGCGAATTGCCAAAAATGCCCAAAATAATTGACAAGTCAATGTGGGCCTTGCTAATATGTTCCCAAATTTTATTGAATAGTATAACTATATGCGGTATAACGGCGTGAACTTTCTTCAAGTGCTACGGTTCCTATTTTATGCACGATACCCCATAAATTGGAGGCACCCTTTGTTCTCTTGTTTCCCTTAAATTAATTCTTGACCTGTAATCTATGCATTTAATAGTGATGAGGTAGATGGTCTGCACAAAGAGAACAACACAGTACAACATTACATTTGTAATGCCATAATTACAACTTGATTAACATTAAAATAAGTAGGAATCCATTCGTTATTAGCATACATTTCTTTTTATAAGAAGCAAACGTGCAGCATAAAATAAAATTAGTTAGACATTTCCTGAACACTTTTACTCAATACCCAGATCAACACCGACTCTTGGAATGATGGACATAAGGCATTAATAATTTAGCACAAATTCCTCGAGGGATATTTTTGTAATATTTCAAGCTTTGAATCGGTGCCATTTATCACAATTACGCATGTGCCGATGGTTTGTAAAAGAGAACAAGTCGCAAGTCTGGTCGCATTAGTCAGTAACACCCCCTAACGACATTACCTTTAAAACAAACCATAGGAAGTATTTCACTTTGCGCGTTAACTGAACATTCCAGTTGTAAGGAAACATCCAAGCGCTGGATGACCTATTTGCGACCGCGAAAATCAACCATGAATGACATGTCTACTTGAGTTGCAGTATACGATTATGTACAGATAGAATCGGTTAGTTGAGATTTTGATTTTTCGGCTATTGAATTGACAAGGATGAGAGGAAGCAAAGTTTGAACAAATAATTTATAAAGAAGGAATGGAAAGGACGTTTGAGACAGAGTTCATTGTTTTCCCCTTAGCCATCCCTATAGGTTCTCTTAATTCGTTCACGTTAAGTTTTTTGTAGTGTTTTTATATCAAATAAACGAAAAATCTCATACCTGGGGAATTATTATTTTTACTTTATATATTTTTTTTTTCATTTTCCAAAGTTGTTAGTTTTTTAATTTTTTTTTTTTTTTTGTTGTTTTTAATTTATTAAATTTAGTTTAAACTATACTATGTATATGTATATAAATAAATACATTTTTCGCATATCTCTTTTATAAATATTCTAAAAAATCTTCGTGCTGCTCCTTATGATGAATCGTGCGCCTACTTATATATTCCTGCCTTTATGCACTCTATAGCGTTCCCATCGTACGACAGAAATACATTGAAAATCTTATAGTAATCTCTAGCGCCCTTAAAGACTACAAATAGAAAATTTACATTAGTAATATAAAAGATATGCGAATAATAAACAACATTACATCTAATCGTTTATCGCGCTTTAAAATTGTGATAAAATAAATTTTTTTATGAACCTAATGTTATCTTATATTTATTTTAGACTTGTTGTCGATGAATCAGCACAATGCTCTTTGTGCAACTTCTGTACCCCTGTAACCACAGCTTTTTGCAGAACATGTTTGCCATGCGTTAAAATATATATATATATACAGGTACATACTTTTTTGCGTTTTAAATGTCAATTTTCATATATATATATATATCTATAAAAGCTCTATTCTATCTATTTAACAAAATGTCTAGGCTTATGCATACATATATAAAGGTTCGCTTCGTTTAAAAAGTTTTTAATTATTTTTTCTTTTAGATTAAAATACATATCGCATTCCGTTTCTTTTAATACAATGATAATTATAATTGATGAGATGAAAAAGAATTTTTTTTTCTTTCTTTTCATATGCATATACAATAAAGAATAGAATACTATTTTGATGTTATTGCTACACACATACTAAACTTCATTTGGATCTTTCCATCCGTATTTCTGTTTTTTATTCTTACCATAGTGCTTATCACCATTGCTGTGATAACTTTTATGGTAATTTTTATCATCCCTTTGTCGATTACCAGCAGGCGGACAATAACAACTACGTTGCTGGGAGTCTAAATATGATTTACAACCTAACGTCAGGGTGCCGGTAAAAAGCATTTTGGCTGCGGCTTTACATCCTTTAATCATTAAATCGCTGGCAATTGATTTCTCGTAACTGTCACAGTACTTGTAAAGACAGCGTTTAAAATCTAAATCACAGAGTTCTTTGTCACTGTTGCAGGTATCGTAGCAGATGTCATGCTCATTACAGCAAACCTCCATTTCGGCAGCCGGTAAATATTCGGTGCTTATGCGTAAACCTAACGAACCGCAACCATCGGCCGTAGGCGTATAAAGCTTATTTTGAAGCGGGCGAATATCTAAAATTAAATAAAATCAAATAATAAGTACTGCTTATTAACATAGCATCCATGCATAATGGAGTAGAAACATTTCAATAAAGGATCACAACCACCTTTCAATCACATGCATAGCAAAGACCCCGACTATCGTACAACCCGAGTAAAGGCTGACATTCAAAGAAGTAATTTTCGTCAATTGGCCACATATTCGAATCGCGTAGAAATCTACATAGAAAATTTGAAATTGTTAACTAGCAAGAACAATCGAAACGCTCATCTTAGTCTGATTTTCTTTCGATTAAAAATTCGCCCACGACTTCACGACGTTATACAAAAGAACAAACTTAATATCAAAATTTGTTGTCAGTACTCTCGTTAATATTAAACTCGTAAAATAATTAAACAGTTCATCATTCTGTCGACAATTAACAGAATATCGTTCACAGTTCGCATTTTCTTAAGTCTTAAGTCTTGACCTTAAAAAACGTTGTAGAACTCTCTAAATAGGGCCGTAGATTGTTAATTAATAGAACGCAACAATCAGTTAAAACGGATCAAAAAGAGTTGACTAGCATTACTAAAATCTGCATTTAAATAGGGCCAAGTATGCAACATTTCTTTGATCAACTATCGTATTTCACAAGAATAGAATTCGAAGCATATACGTGCGCTACAATATGATACAATACATCAAAACAAAATATATCTTCAAAGCGAATGTAGCGAGAAGATGGCAAAATGAGAGCTGAAAGAAGATCGCGATATAATGATAAGGATAGATTGATCGTTGAAGTTCTTCACTCATGTCGGTCAGGTGCTACTACGACTCTTAACAATTAAAGAGATCGCATACTAGCCTTAGCAATAGCCAATCAATTACGAAATAAAGCTAGTGCATAATATGTTCGAGATTTATGCATAAAGGCAATATTGTATGCAGGATAACCCGAATGAGTATACACACATATACATCAATTACTATTATAACTTAAATCAGGTATAACGGTTGCTTTCGAAACTAGTCCAGATATTATGAATTTAAACAAAACTTAATTGACTTAATTTTAGTTCTACACATTGGATTCATCTGGTTCATTTGATCTTATGATCAAATAACGTTTTTGCGTGAAGGATTCATGCCTTAGTTTTTATTATTTATAAAAAGTCGCGCTTAACACTTTCTACAAGACTATAGCATATTCCTATCGCTTCGGAACTCTAACAAACTTACGTAGCAATGAACACAAATTTCAAATTAGGACTTCATTTGTAGGTGCGTCAGCCTGTAGCAAAAAAACTTTTAAGAATTTATTACTAATCGTGAAATATAACCCCATCGACAAGTAAAACCAATTTCAGTTAGACTAAAACCTTTTGTAACCATTAATATTATTGTTATTAATTTTTTTTTTTTTTTGGATGTTGAGTTGGAATGGACTAAGCCAATAATTATACTCCTTTAGAGTAACCAACACAATCTCACCATTTCTGTTCAACGTAAAATGCTTTGCAGCGATGGTGAATTTTCACAGAACTAAGGCAACAACTTTTATATATATATATATATATACTGCTTTTATCAGTATATGGCAACGCTGTATACTCCCGCTTAAATTTATATTTTCATAAATTGTGTTATATATCATAACCACCAAAAGTCTGGTAGCGATTTCTTCTTGAAATTAAAAGGGATTTCGGTTTTTAATTCGATCATATTAAGTCTAAGAATTCTCAGTCTTATTATTACGGTAACGCGCAACATAAGACATGAATTGCATTCACAATTTCTTTTCCATTTTTACTGCCATTTGGTTTAGCAAATCATAACGTCTCCGAAGTTGCCGATAGCGAGCTTGAGTGCAGACCTTATTTATCTTATACAAAAACCGCTGACGGTTTGTTGTTATATTCATAACGCGGCAGTTTCACACACACCGTCAGCTGTTAATCAGTTGCTACAGCATATTTTAATATGAGCGCAAGCAATAAGAAAAAAATATAAACAATTGACGTAGCACTTCAATTATTGAAAAAAGCAAAATTGCTACGCACACATGCAACTAACATATGCTTGTCTGCTCTTATTAAGATTTATAGAACAGTTCTTGTTGCCCTTAGTTGGCATTCTATAAATAATTTACGTAATTAATGTTGCTTGTTTTTCTTAATATTGTGAAATTTTAGAAAATTTAACTCAATCAACAGTTTACCTTGCCCGCCATTGTCTGTTGGACATTTGAAAATGCATGTTTCCTCGACAGCAGCATCGAATACTTCATGGACCGTGCGGAACTTCTTTGCTACTGTTATAAGATTCTTGAACACATCACCGAATATAGCTTCTGCCGCTATAATGGCGTCTCGTAAATGTGCAAGCGTATTAGAACCATATCCGGAATATGCGTACGTTAAAAACGTTAAAACGTATATTGCAATTTTCATGTACGTCGCTTGCATTCCGTACCGACTAAAATTTTGTTTTTTTTTCTTCACTTCAACTTAAAATTTGCCAGAGATGCCGTTAGTGCGATATGAGTACATTTTTAGGATATGATAACCATTCGTTGGCAACGAAAAAGTGTTTTCTTAAGAATTTATTGAAAAACGACAAATTGGGAGGTTAAATATTTTTTATAGCCTTCAATAGCAGTATGGAAGCTCGCAATTAATTTCACACATACCAAAATAATCAGCAGCACAGGGATGTTACTGCTAACATTGATAAATATAAAAATTAATTACATTGACTATGCATTTAGAAGTGTTTATAAATCAAGAGTATTTTTAAATAATATACTATTTCAAAACTTTATGTCAAATGAAAAAAAGAATTTTTAATTTAAATTTTAATGTTTGACATATGTTACGTTGTCGAAGAGCCTTGGAGATCGTTATCTGTAAAATCATTCAAAAGCCGTTTTAACTTGTTTTCCACTAACTTGAATCAATCTGATTACGGTGGGAAAAAAAGGTCGAGATTAAATTTCTTTAGGATAGTAACCATAATTTTTCTTTTTCTAATAATTAATCTAACACAATTAGATTGGTTTCAATATTCACGTCGATTATAAAGATGTACTTTGTGCCAATTGCAGGTATTTAACAAGCATCCTCTAGATCCTCTAGCGAAATGTAAAAATATGTTAACTGGGAGCTAGTTTGATTTATCTATGTAAGCGTTTTCACACTCTACATGGCTAAAATGGAAGATAGACGGTTGCAATTTTCATTTCAATTTTTCCCACAAAATTTCATTACACTCTAACCAATATTTTAATTAAACTATAAAATATTTTGCCATTAACTAGTAATTAGAAAATATTTCTTTGGAAAGATTTGAAAATGCCTTGTTTCTAATCAAATCAAATTTCTATTTTTTTTAACTCACGCCTTATAATTTGTTAAAAGACCATGATTTTTATTCAAATATGTATGAACTTGTGATTAAAGATTTTCCCTAAGTCGATTAACAATTTAGAAAATTTTCATTAGTTCTCAACTTTACATATTTAGCGGTTGTATTCGTATGAAAAGTACAATTTCAAATGAATACAGAAAACATTGCAATCAGCAATCAGTCAGCTGCGCAAAAAATTAGTGATGGAAAACATTCAATTATAAAAAGCCACTATACAAAAGTCCACTATTTTTATGTTGTTGCTGTAAAGCCTGTACCATGTGTGGCTGTTGCTGCACTTTACAATTGTTTATTTGCTTCCATTCTTTAGAGTTGTTGCTGTTCATAATTTTGATAATTATGCGAATTTTTTGTATTTGTCAATGTCAGTTTATATATGCGCAAATTGCAAAGCGAAGGCAACATAGATTTCTGTGCTTTTAAGTGAATATTTACTATACAAAGTTAGAAAAGTTGGTATTGAGAATCTGATATATGAATTCATTCAACATTTACATGTTAATGGTATGGTGCAACTGGGGGCGAAATCGTTCAGGCTAAGGAGGCTTGTTCCCACTAATTGCACTAATGAAATATTGGCGGACCGCTGTTGAGGATATTGTTCCAGATTTTCTGCCAGAGAAATACGTGAGGTGCGCAACGAACACCTAAGGAACACTTGAAGAAGAAGTTGGAGGTCGAAGCGCTAAGTAACAGATACAAATAGAATTCTTCTCTTACCATCTAGTTATTAACTTAAATAACTTTTAGGAACAACCTGTAGAAGCCTTACGGCGTTCTAGCGGTCGTTGAGCAAAAACTTATGATTGAAAATTAGGATGAACAAAAAGAAAGTTTGGCGGAAAGCAATGCAATAGGCTAAGTTAAACGAAAGAGTTGAAGGAGATAGTGTCCAAAAAGTGATAAACAAGTATTTAAAATGCTTGAAGAAGATGAGATGATGGAAGAACTGGAACCAGAATTGGACAGTTTGGAAATAACTGACATAACAGATCAAATAGTAAATAAGTTGACCAATGATGATATGGAAGTGCCAAGGGAAAAGGACCGAATTTCCCATGAAAAACAAGCCGAGGACAATGAAAAGTGCCTGACATGAGTAGAAAATAAGGAAAAACCAGGCATTGTTGAAAAGGACGACATTATTTATATCATGGTAGCCACTAATGATAACGTTCTACTTAATCCGAAATTAAGAACACGTGATCTATTGACTGATCGAAATTGAGATGACGACTTACAAGAGGAAATAGAAATTATCACCGAGCAAGCAAAATTCTTAACTCCTTTTGATCAGAATGGCTTCGGGGATTATCAAATGCAAATCATATGTTGAAAATAATCTACATTATCATTGAAAACGTCTGAACAGAGGCGTGAAAAAATACGTCTCTTAAGAGTATTAGAACATGTCTTAGAAGATGTCTTAGAAAGCGTAGAAGAATTTGATGAAGATAATATCCCTTTCAAGAAAATGAGGATTCTGATATTGATCGTAAGAGCCTGATAAATGAAAACAATCAATATTTTGATCAAAACTTCAGAAAAATGCCGAGTCTCTTTTGCTCTGAAAGATGAGACTTTGGAATTTCATAAAAATGAAGCAGCAACACAAACGCTAATTAAACCTTTACGCGATGTGATGCCGCTAGATAATATTCCAATAATTTAAACAAAATCGACAGTTTATTGAAGAAAATCGAAGTAAATAGGATTTTAATATGGTCGAACAAATGACCATTTTCAAATTCAGAATACAATGAAGTACGTCCGTCTATCAGTCTGTCCACTTATTCATGGGCCCAACTGTGGAGTATTTATGGTGCATATTCTCTCGTTCGCAAAGGAGAATATGTCGCATATAAATTTGCAAAAAGTTTGAATATGGCCCAAAGAGGTCAAAGAACATGTTTACAACGCCTACACGTCTAGACATTCGCAATTGCGAGCAACTTTGCTTTCCTTTTTTTCAATCTCCTATAGGATAACGGCGATAGGTACAAAAGATTCGGTCGCAATCGCATATGATTTTCTTATGTATCTTGTCAATTTTTTCACGTCTCTATGTACGGAACTACGTGTATTAAATTCTTGTCGAACTTTCTTGCCAGCATTGCCTTTTGTCATTCCATGCACCCGCGCCGACATTTTGCTTTCAATATCTTACTAGAATCTTCTGTGTTTTTCTCTGCTCTTTTTATATATTTTTGATTATACAAATATTTCTTCAGATAATCGTCCTCTTCCCAATGCTTTTCTCAGTTTATGCATCTCTTTGTCTGTTTGTTCAAAGTTTGTAAATAAATCGCCCAAAATCACCTTACACATTTCTCTGTAGCATCCTTGCTGTCAAATTTAATATACAAACCTATATCCTATAACCTAATATCAACGAATGCAGCCCTGCACTTATAGGAAAATGAGTAGGCGATTGTTTTTTTTTTTGTCAATCGACTCAGTTTTGATTTTATTTTTTGGTTTACATTTTTTGAGCAACAACACTTGCTCAAAAACATGCGCTTGAAACATTTCTTCCGAAAATTTGTATAAAATTAAAATAATAAATGATAAAAGAGTCTAAATTGTTTTTCAGTTTGCATTGAAAATTTGGAGTAAGAAAACAGTTTTTCAAGAAAAATTTGTATAAAATAATGAATATTAAATTATAATAAAGTCCGAAAAAGATATATTGCTAAAAATTGGGAATGACTTCTATATGCATGGCAAATTGGCTTGGCAGATCTTTTTTGAGATACGCAAACGTTGCGCAAATTTCCAGAGAAGGTTCTTGGCGTCCCATGACGATTCACGAGTCACTAAAGGGCTCGTTATTGGAGTGTACCAAAAGGAAGGAGGCAAGGATCCCAAACTGACACCAAGTGGAGAGAAATTTGATGACCGTGTACAAGACAAGGTGACCGAGCTTGTTAAAGAATTCAATATCACCGGTGCTCTTGGTAAAGGAAAAGTATCCAACAACATCGACCAAGAGTATAAGTTGATAGCTGTAATTGGATTAGGCCGTAGAAATGAATCACGAATGCATGGAAAATGTAAGAGTTGCGTCAGGGGTAGGAGCTCGCAGCTTGCAAATGTAAGGTTGTTACTAGCTGGCGAAATAAGTTTACACATTACACGATCATATACGCTACACTTCTACTTACTTCACACGCCAATTATAAAAATTATTTAGGGCAAATTTCTCTTATGAACCGACCAATTTCGGCGAGCTAGTCAGATTCTGTTTAGAGCCCTTTAAGCATGCTACACACTTTCAAAAAAAAAAAAACCAAATATCCTGAAAGTAAAAAAATTCAAAAATTAAAAATAATAATAGCAATAAATAAGTAAAAGTTTACAAAAAAAAAAAAAAAAAAAAAAAAATACGGAAATTGTTCATTGAAATGGAAAAAGAGGGTGGAGTACGTAAGAAAGTAAGAGAAAATGAACACAAAGCAACTTATGTTGATAAAGCAGCAAAAGAATCAAGCATCAGGCAACTAATCGCTAACCTTATTAATTATCCGACAAAGTATTTCCGATTCATATTGATCCTTTTCCAATGCAATTCGGCGAGCCCGTCGTACCCTTTTTTTATCGACTCTTTGAATGCTTTTCTAGAAGAAAAAGAAGAAGAACATGTGAACAGTAAGAAAGGAAGTAAAAAAGAAATGAAAAACTTGCAATTAGTTTTCGAAGCATGTGTTTGAAAGCGGTGAAAGATTGCTACAAACTATTCAAATATGTTATGAAGAACATCTGTAATAGTTACATTATGAATACACATTTCGAAAAATATTTAAGCTAAATAACTAAATAAAAATGTACACATTGGTTATATATAATGATAAGCAGTTTTCGATAGGCATATCTAAGCAAGTTGATAATCGGTTGGCTCTTGATGGGCGCTTGAATTATTGCATATCCGTTTGTTAAGTTTTGCAAGATTGCATGCTACATCGTATGCTACAGCGAAAAGTTCTCGGCTTCTTATGTTCCTAATGCAAAACTCTTTAGGGAATTGTGAGTTTGTTTAGTTTTCAGGTCTATCCGTTCATCATAAGCAAGGTCAGTTAAAATATGCTCTTATTAATTAAACTAATTAAATATTAAAAGGATCTAGTTTCACTTTTTATTTTCCTTTACCTTCGTTAAGCATATTCCCGCTGCCAAGTGAAGGTTTAGGCGGCATGCATTAATGCAATGAAATTGATTACAATAAAAATTACTTTATTACTTTATTCTAACGAGTTAAACTTTCTCAAACTTTTCTATCTATGGCTACTAATCATTTTCAGTTTGTAGATAAATTTTACCCGGCCAATAGACGGACGGACTAGTGGAAATGTATCGCTGAAAGGGCTCAGAATTTCACGTTATTAAATACAAATGCAATTAAAAATGGAATCGTCATGAACTTACTTACTAACACTAAAAATATCGGCGTTTGTAATTAAAAAAAAAAAAAAAAAAGAAAAAATCAAGCAAGAAAAAAGCAGCGAAACGGCATCTGTGATAATTTCGAAAACAATTTCGGTTTCGTGCTTAAACTTCAATATTATCCCTTATGTGTAAGGAGTAGCAATCAAATTGCTCAGATTTGATCGAGCCTAATTAAAATTCGTTCGCTCTCAGTAGAATGCGAACGCAAGAATTGAAATTGAGATACAAATCAAAGGATACATGACGATGGGGAGGATTGAAATCGGTAAGCATCGTTGAAAATTGTGGTACGAAATTGTGAATATTTAGAGAATAGAGGCGATCACCATTTCAAAAGCGTTCACAATTTAAAAAGCGAGTTCCCGCCCTCGTTAGTAATCAGCTTATTTCGCAGGCAACTACGATGACTTTTATACGCCTGGCACAGTATCTGTGTATTTATCCATCTATCTGTCTATATATATAAATGAAAACAATACTTTGGTGGTCATGAGGGCGAACATGAACACCATAATTTTTCGTTAAACAAATTACGTAAAAAAAATTTGAATATATGTGACGCACATGATCGTCGGAGAAATTGTGTTAACGCATACAAGAATTTTTTGTATAAACTCGGGAGAGTTTTTTTAAAAGGATTGTGTCAGATGAGAATATTATTGAGCGATGACAACAAGTTCAATACCTTTTGGCTGAACGCTTTCACCATGCAATACTTCGTTCCATGTCGATCTTGCAGATGACTAAGCAAGCATGTATTTGTATGCGTTCCTCTGAGAATTTATTATTGTAAAACGCTAATGGGTTTCATAATAAAAATATTTTTTTATCTTTTAATTGATAATCGTTGAGCAGGAATTGGCTAAACCGGCAATCGAAAACTCTTAGGAAACAAAAAAAGCGATTATTTTCAATTTATTCTCCACAAGCTTGAATCGCCTAATCGTTTTTTCATAAAAGCTCTGAAAAAATGCAACATGTTTCAGTTCACGTATTCATGTAGCGTATTTACGTAGCGTTGATAGCAAGTAACTCTTAATTTAATGAGTAATTATGCCCGTAGACCTTTGCTCATCGCTTAGGTGAGAAATTTTGAAAGAAGGTTACGCTTGAAACTGGAAGCGAAATTTGATTAAGCGTCAGAATGCAACTCTGATTCATAATTTATGCAACGTGCACGTCTCTGCGAAAATTTTTTGCGAAATTTTCCGTTACAAAAAATTAACCATTGCTTTTAAATCAAAATCTATGTTACTTCATGCTTATTACAATCGCGACCTTCGAACGTTTTAACTGGCGATTTGAAAAGTTGATCTTCTGATGAAAATACTTTTTATGCGATTGTAATCAATGGAATGGATATTCCAAACTACGGTAGAGGTATATGATTATATAATTTATCTGAAAGTGATTGACGTGATGACAAGCAATAAATGGCAAGCTTGTGCGTTAGTAACTACAAAGAATACAATTTGTTTCAGAACTATTATGTTTAAAAATATATAGCAGCACGTTTAACGTACACACATCTCTCAATTATATACATCAGAGCTTACCAAACAGTGTAAAGCAGCGAATTGCTTGAAGACGGTTTGCAAAATTTAATCCGTGCTTCGGTTCGTCCGCCTATCTTTCTTTTTTCAGCTAGTCTGCTATATTTAAAATACCCATTTAAGCCAAGGTGAGAATATTGATTGCAAGGAATTCTGCAAAACTAAGAACAAAATATATATTTATACTTATTGTAAAAATGACCTATGATCATTTTTCATGGCGTCTAGGTGTCTACTCTATCCTTGAATATTCTGTGCGTTTTTCAAGCTCATTGCTTTGTTACATATGCTGGGCATACTGACAAAATTTCGCGACTTTTGTAAAATTTTTTAGCCAATGTGTCACAAATTACATACTATATACACATACAATCCTGTTTTGCTTCTTTTTTCTTTTATACGTAATTTTAATGTTTATGGTTCGCCTTATTGCATTCTTAAAACTTGAGTCAAAAAAAAAAAAAAAAAAACAAAGAAAAATGCTTAGCAGGAGCATAGCACCTTCAAAAAAAATATTGATTTGCTCAACATATTTTCCTTTTGCATCAAAAATTAAAATCCCTACAACCGCAGTACTACGACACGATTGATGCTCGACCATTTAACAAACTATTACATGTTCATTTTTTTTTATAGCAAAATTTCCGAGATATTTCTATTGAGTTATACAGTCATCGATTTACGATTTTATCGACCCGCCGTCTATCAAGAGTCCTTTTGTCGCCGCCGCTCGATTGCCATGGTTATAAACCGTCTATTTGTGATTTACTATTAAGCCACAACTAGTTACTTCGCATAAGAATAGTATAGATACTCGGCGCGACATTCTAAATCAAAGCAGAATCGATGGGAGGAGGAGATTTTCAGGCCGGAAGCCAGATCGGCAAGGTGTTAATGCATAAAATTAAACAACCAAGACTTGCACACGCTACACTCGCACCTACAACTTACAATTCTCAGCATTTCAACAGATGGCATTTGCAATTATTTGTAGAACGTCGTACTCTAAGGGTAAGCTAAAAATTGAGACGATGCAAATTGCGACGCCAGCTATGTTTCATTAACATAACATTTTCCTCTCTCCGCAAGGGAAGAAAACCCGCCATGAACGATGTATGTATCCCCTTTGCATTGAGAGAAAGTAGCAAAATTATTATCGGCTCTGGTCGATATCTTTCGTATTCACCAACTTTATCTTAAAAAGTATAAAAAAGAATCACTTCAAAAATTCAATACTCTATAATAATGGATGGAGGCGACTGATCTTTTGGAGAGAATTTTATCGTTGCATCTGTGGCGCTTTATGAGCAAGAAGAAAGAAAATTCAATTTTCTTTTCGGCTTTCGAAAATAGACGTGTGCACAGCTTACGCTGTAATGTAGGTGTGCCTTCTGACCGAGAGAATGTTCGACATAGCCAAATCCACGAACAGACAAACAGGGAGGAGAAACGAGCACATCGTCTCTGAAGCTTGATTCGCTAGATGTGTGCAAATATGTATTGATATAGTGGGTATAATGGGTACAGTGGGTTTCCTTTTCGGCGATGCATATAAAAAGATGTCTAAGCGAAATCTAGTTAGAAGTGTTTTAAGGTTTTGTAATCCAAACTGTTCAGTTATTCCGTATTTGACATGTGGGTGAAGCTGCGGGTTTAATGATTGCTAGCCAGTATTTGGCGGGCAGGCTGTGGGAATTTAAACTTCAATATTTATGCCACTGATGGCAGCTTGTTAAATACTGACTGCAATTGAAAATTCATATCCAAATGGTAGAGAGCTTTCAATTATGGCAGCTGCTCTAGATTGCAATTTTTATTAGCCAAAAGTCATCGAATGCATGTAACACAAAGGGAATCTAAGTGAACGTAAAGTCGAACGAGAGCACTTCCTTAAAAAAACTTGAAGAAAATTATATGAGATTAATTAACTTCATCGGTATATTATGCGAAAGATTGGATTTAGAGCAGTTTTTTTTTTTTTTATTATCTATTATTATGATAGAAAGATATTTCGCGAATTTGTAAATGCGAAAATTTAAGTGTATTTAACAAAGTTGAGCATCTCTGATCTGTGCATAATAAGTAAATGCGGGAAATTGTAAGCATTTAAGCTTGTGTTATGCCTCGCGCAGTATTTTCTTGTTGTATAAATTGCGAACAGTAAGAAAAACCATCGCAAACCACAAAAACAACATCAGTAAAACACAACTAACAAACTAGCAAACGAACAATGAAGCGAACGCTTAGGCCAGACAAACACTAGCCATGAAGTAGTTATAGCGATAAAATAGAAAGAGAAATAAAAATAAACATAAAAGTAAAAATAAAAATAAGAAGCCAAAGCATAATACCCAGCATCACTTACCATTCATCCATCCATCCATCCATCCAGTCGAACATTTGGTAAATAATTTTGCTGATTGTGTGTGGTGGTGGCGGCACTTTTCCATATTTTTACAAATTAGTTTAAGACGGAACGTGAAACTGCACAGTTCGTCTAATCGGTACGAAAAACAAGAATTTTCTTATAAAATAAATGAAAATTAATTTTGTTACATAGAAAGGAGGAAAATACAAAATATATAAAAAAATCAATCTTAATATTAAAATCGTTTGTGTAAAAAGCAAACTGAAAAACAACAGCTGTAAGGTTGTCATTGATAAATTGCTTCAATTCGATATGAAATGTTCGTCTCGAGCAGCTGTTTATTGAGTAGTGATATGATGTTGTGACGGTGGTGCAAAGCGTGTGTAACGTATTTTCAAAAAATTTCCTTTTAGCCGCACCTAACGCACATACCTATATATATAAATACGTGAATATATATATATATATATATATATTTATTTATGCACACGGTGGCAATTGTCGTGAAAATGTTTTATTATTAAATGAAATATAGAAACAAATATGCAACAAATTATTTGCGTGTATTATACGTATACATATATGTACATGTTTATATATATATGATATGTATAATGAGGTCTAATAATAATATAAACGTGTAGAGATATACTGAATATCGAAAAACTCATAGACGATTAACACAAAATAAGCTATAGCGACTTTTGTTTATATATGCGGCTTGGTGCATACATGATAGTAACATATATAATCATCTTCGATGGATGGATGCTTTAATAACTGTGGTTGAATCAAATTTTAGTCTTGTGTGTTTTTTTTTTTTTTTTTTTTTTTTTTCTAAACCTAATCGTATTATGTATATTGTGTGTGTGTGTGTGTGTGTGTTCTCAATCACTAACCGACAAACAAACAAATAAACAAGCAAACAAATACACACATACACCCATGCGCGCACTTAGTCACAGACAGGCACATATGTAGATGCATACATATCTCCTTCAAACACTTAAACTATCTAAAAGAAGTTAAGAGTAAATGTTTTGCAATAAACCGGAAATTCTAGATCATTAGTTTATTACAATAACAACTAACGACGAATAAGAAAATCACTTTCGAAGCCGAATCTCGATAATTTTATATCCAGGTCCAAGTTCACATACGATTTTCATTTCCTCAACATATTCTTCAGCGTTTAACTAAGCAAGTATTTAGTCTGCGTTTGCACGGTCTTTCGCTCTGTAAAACATTTACATATATTTCAACCGTAAATATGTCGAACTGAGTAGCAGAAAGCGGCAAATGTAGCTCTCAGAGCTACATCTGATCTTCCCGAGATCACATACGCCTTTTTATATCTCTCTCTTTGTTCGTCAAAACAAAAAAAAAAAAACAAAAAAAAATTTAATTTCTCTGGATACAGTTACTTAACTTTGCATGCAGATTCCGGTCGGCCTAACCTTATGTTTACCCATCTAAATATCAAATTCCGATTGCAGCCGTCTAAAGTGTACATTTCATCGACATTAATAATGCTTTGTTAAACGGAGCATCGAGCATATTCGTTATGAAACTTACTTTGAAATAATTTCCGAGACATTCTTGCGCACTGTCTCTTTATATAATGAAAATAGCTTTGTGAGTTTATAGCCTACTATAGATACAAGTTGTTTGCTTTCCCAAGCTTCCCAATGATATTGACATTGAAATGGAATTGAATGGTTGCCCAAGTTTTATCATTATATTTATGTATGTATTATTCATTCATAGATTTTGTAAAATATAGACGTGATATTGTAGTAAGATTTCGCTTGTAGATAATATAAGAAATCGTGTTAAATATATAGAAAGGTCATGGATTCATTTTTGACCTAACGATTCTTGGGATGACAAACGTCGGGTATATCTCTAATATCTCTAATCCGACTTGTTTAGCTGAATTCACAAGTTTCGATTTTTCAATTCGAATTGTATCATCAGTTAGCGAAAGTTTTGACAGGTAACGTATCTTGGTATTGGGACGACATTGTTTAGATTGTGTTTTTCGATGTTGCAAACTGATTGACTTTATTAACATGTCTCGCTTCACTGTTGGATATAACAATGGACGGCATCTAAAATAAAAACAAAAACAATAACAACTACTATAACGATGTAAATTAAAAATGTAATCTATATAACGTTCTTTGACTTCATTATGAAGTCCATGTTACCAATACAATTTCATTAGACCCTGTTTATTTTTGTTCGAAAAACTGATCATTCAGTTAGTCAGGCAAACATTCAGCCAGCAGTGTAATTATCTCAACTCAATAGACTACTAAATTAGAAACGTTTATTTAGTGTTGTTGCCGCTGCTGCTGCTAGTGGCACTCGTTGTGTTATTCTCTTGTACGTAAACAAATCATAACTCATATATTAGACGGGTCAGTTCGCCGTTGATCGTTTGCTGGTGCAAGTAAGAAATTCGAATATAATCGAATAATATAAGTCTTGAGTTAAGAATTTTTAAGAAAAATTGTTATTATTTAGGAAAAAAAGTAAAAACAATTAACAAAAACACAGATTATTATAAATTAAAGTAAATCGTTACGATAACTTAAACATATTTAAAGTGTCACCAGCTGTATGGTAGTATGAAAGCGTCTTAAGAACAATAAAAATTATAATAGCCAATCAATATCTGTTTGCTATGAATTTGATGAAAAAAAACTTATTGATATTCGATCGATACACAATTTTACATTTCAAGTGAGATTTAATCTGGGGTCTGGGGTCATTTAGGCGCCTAATTGCAAATGCATCGAACATGTTTTATTAATTTTGTATTTTTTGTTCCCCGCACGTCAACTTGAAAAACTCTACTCAACTAAGTAAGAAGAAGGCTGTACGAATATGAACTTATATATGAATTTAGTTCAGAAGTTATCTTGCTATCGTGTTTATTTTAATTTAAAAAAAAAACGGAAAGACCTACATTTTTATACTCCATAGCATTGGACGGGCGTGACTGATTTTTCCTATTTTCAGAATAAAAATTCAAATCTATATGTCGTGTGTGTTATAAATCTTGTGCACATAACATGGAAAGCAAAGGTACTCACAGTTTGTGACGCATACGACTGTGGGCGTTGTGGGCGTATCCTTTGATCGATTTAGCTCGTTTGCAAGTTCTTTTGCAAATTTATAAGCGATATCTTCGTTTTTGCAGACAAGCACAGACAGCACATGCTTAGGTGCATTACGAAGCTGATACTAGCTAAGAATATAATATTATATAGGGCTGGTTAATTTTTCCCATTTTTGTACCGATTCTATAGCATCACCTACAGAATATGCGTTCTGCTCTATTTTAGAAGTAATGAACGAAAACGGATTTATTATTCGTTTTGAAGAAAGGGAGGTGTTCTCAACTTGCGTGCAAGAACTCTCAAGGTTTCTGCCAAATTTAAAGCCGTTACGTGATTTTAATCACAAATATATGTACTTTGTCGGGTCTCTGCAGCTTCCATGCGTGACGGATAAAAGAATATTTTAAATAGATTAGTGAATCCATTGCTAAACTCCTATGTACATGTGTTGATGTCGACATTTGATGTCATCTTATTCAAACCGATTGCCGTTTGAATCTTTCCAACTTATTCGTCCTTCGTCACTGTGGATCGATTTAACACAACCATTGTTACGATATAAACACATGAACTCCTTACTTTTCATTTCCTTTTATTGAATTGAAAATTATTTTATTAAATTTCTTATCAAAATTGATAACGCGTTCTATTCACAATGACGGGGTTAAGCATAACTCGGAGTATGGTAAATTTTCTCGAAGTCTGTTTCAAATTCAATTAAACAGAAGTGTGAGATGATTGCCTTTTAATATAAACGCTGAGTCTAGGTAGAGATTCATGGCGAAAGTCAAAGATCGACATATCTCAGCTTTAAGGTTAGATGATAACGGGCAAGACTGCATAGATTTAATACTCATGCGAGCGGAGAAGGACGTGCAAGCGAAGTCTATCGCAACTTGACTACGCTGTTATGCATAGAAGCAACATTGAGAAATCTCTCAGACTTTTGTTAATTTCAGGCGTGTTTAGGTTCCTTACCGAGAGCAATAACTTGTGTGTTACTTATAAGTCGTACGTTAAAATAATTCCAGTAATTTCTAGTTTTTTGCATGAGAAAGAGAAAGAAAGCAAGAAATAGAGAAGTGGCGGCCGGAACATAGTGGCTGTGTGCCCGATCGGTAAGTGTTATGCCGTTACCGTCAGAGTATTTGCTATAGTTACGATCGAAGTAAACTCTAGCGCACTGAGATTTGAATTCGCTAACACTCACTTGATAGCTCCGAGTTTCATCTGCTCGGCTACTCATGCAAAATCGTAATATTCAAGGATATAATAGAAGGTTATATGGGAAATTTTCTATTTGTTGATTTATCTCGAGCGCTTTGTAAAGCAGAATCATGTACAGACGTGATTGAAATGGCTTCGGGACGTCTTATAAATTTGGTGGTGATTTACTCCAACGTGCGATCTTATACTCGAAAATTTGAACTTGGAGCAACTATCTTATGAAATGCCATTATTTTATAGCATGCGAGAGTTTCAATAGCAAAGTCGCGCTTCTAGCAAATATAACCTGAATCTTAAACTTCTCGAACAGATGGATTTTCTCGCGGCACGTCGGTCGGGTGTTCATAAATGAATTTTATGTATTCTCATAGTTTAACTTAGCTGACAGTCGCGTATTTTATTAAAATTTTTGGAAATTTTGAATTGACTAAAATAAAATAAAAACACTTTTTTTTCTGCGATTTTGGCCACAAATACGAATTTTGTATTCTATGATTGCTTGTATGATCATGTGCGAGTCAATTATCATTAGCAAAATTAGGTCATAAGTACTGAAATAGAACGTTGTCATGTTTTCAGACGTCTATGTACATATGGCGCGGACAAAATTTAATGGAAAACATTTTTCATTTGGACACATCAATAAACCATTGAAAGGGTTGACATCTCTAAAAAACGTAAATCAATATTATTATAATATAATTTTAATATCTTTTTAACTGCCTACGAATAAATTGCCAAAGTTGACTGAACGTTCTCTTTGTAAAAGACTGCTTAATTCTAATAACTCAAGATTCTTATCAGAAGAAGCAGGGCTCAAATTATATGTACAAGTGAATGTGACAATGTGTGTGCTGTTATTTGAAACTAGGCGACACAAGTCGAACAAGCCGAACGTCGCATTGAACGTGAGTTCACCACGCTAGAAATGGTGAGGAGAATCGACAAATTCATATAGGATGATCACCAGTTGAAAATGCACGTGCAAAGCGATATAATAGGTCTTTCAAAAACTGCTCCTGACGATATATTGAGTAAAAGTTTCAATTTACGAAAACTGTATACCCGATCGGTGTCAAATTGCTTTATAAAAGAACAGCTACAGCTATCTGAAGGTGTCACAATAGGACATTTGGCGTTGTTTCAGAGAAATGTAATTGATTCATATCCGCATAGGGGTAAAACGAGTCTATTACTTCATGCCTAAGATGAACGAACTATCGATATAATAAAGTGAAACAACGCGATTCAGCTCCGAGGAAGGCAAAAGCACTTCCATCGGTTACCATGATATGATTTTTAGAGAATGTCCTGCAATGGGGACATTTCCACTGATCATATTCAAGTGAATATCACCGGCATTAGTCAAGCGAACAACAAACAAATCTCGCAAATTAACAAACATGGTGGAAGTTATACTCGATCGGAGCTTAATCTCTTTTCAATGCTCTCCGCTGAGTTTTCAATGATAGGTAGTTTTGAAAATTACCATACACTTCCTCTGCACCTTATCCACCACACATCGTGTTTTGCAAATGCGGTCTTGGAAAGAAAAAATTTAGGATTCAAGTTAACGTTCTAAACGAAAAGGTTCGCAATATTGAAGGTCATCACTTTGCAAAAGTTTTACTCAAACTTATCAACTTAATCAAAGTGTAAATGGAGAATATAATCCCAAAACCCATTAATGCGAGATATATATATATATATATATATGTTTTTAGTCATAACGCGGTCATGACATGTGTGCAACAAAGGCCCAAGATGATGAATAGCTTTAATGGTAAATGGTAACTCAAGCTGGATGGAATTTAGTTCTCACTAGAATTTGCAAATTTTTGCAAGATTAATTTAAACTAAATGCTTGATAGAGGTGCGCACATGTAAAAGATGCGCAAATGATTGATTGATTACACATATGCGACTCCAAAGATTATGGCTTTAATAAGTAGGCGCGTTAAGGGACAACGCTACGACCAGAGCCGCGTTGCAAAAGAAAGCGTGATTTTGAGCAAGAAGTGAGAGAAGAAAATAGTTTTGAAAAATATTGAAAAGTGACAACAGCGTAGCCAATGGGCCTTTGCCTCCCAGAGTATAACTCGTACAAATATAAGTTGCAAGGACACATTTTCTACGTTCCACTAGACAGCAAAGTATTGAGGATGTTTTCAAAATATTAATTATTTTGCATGATTGGCGGGTAATTGAAAAAAAAGTTTGATTGATTTTCGGCAAAAAGAAGGGAAACGCGTTGTTATCAGATAATGTGTAAATTAAAATTGACCCTTACCCATTGCTTTTCAATGTGATATTTCAACGATGTTGTAAAAAATTCGAATGAAAAGAATGTGAGGTCTTCGCGTCTAATTTGACGCGTGTCTTTATTGGAATACACAATTTTTTTCTCTTAATTTTCATTATTATTTTCATCATTCTTTGTTACCATAAAACTGCCGCCTCATTCATTTTCCTCAAACGTTTTTTTGCTAGAGTCTGCGGCCTTTACTGAATCTGCGAAAGACAGAATCCGACATTTTACACTTTGTGTGATGCGAAAAAGACGGCGGAAAATGCCAAGAAAATTCACAATTCTGCAGTCGAACGGATAATTAACATTGATATCTACGTCACGCATCATTTCTTCATTTGTTGACGGGAGCACTGACTCCTTTCGAAACGCTTTCACATGAACACTAGAATTGGATTAGGGAAGTTGGAAATTAATCTCTGCCTCTTGTCTGTAACCTCGGCTAGCACGGATTCGACTGATATAGCTAGACCTTTGGGAGCGTTTACGAAGGCATATCGAAATTTCAAAGGAAAAAAATGATTTTCTGAACAATTTACAGAAGCTCTTGCCCTTAGTTAGTGGAATCGTTATTCATAGTAATTTATGTCGGGTTACAGTAACTTAATCGGCAATTGTTTTGCATCCCTATAGGCATCTAGAACTGTGGTATGCAACTTTGTTGATTACTTAGAGCTTTTTCAATTCCATTTGATTTTCTTGGTTCATTTTACAGTCCAGTCAGAGCAAATGACTCGTAATAGTTGCACGTAAGAGTCCGTCTTTTGTTTATTCGCCCGCATAAGTTTCCATAAATGAAATAAGTTTTTTTCACTGTATATTCGCTCATATTGCTGTCCGCGAGAATAGATTTCAATTAATTTTAACAAAAACCAAAACAATATCATCGATCATATACCACAAAACCGACATCTTAAGTACATGTACACACATGTTTCTATTCTAAATATATATATATATATATATATATGTATATATATATAAAAGAGAAAAATAATAAAAAATGAAAATAAAATTAAACCAACCAACCAATATATGTTTGCATATATATACTTTATGTATACATGTTTAATTATAAATATTTTTGTTTTCCATCAATCAGTACATCATTATTCAATTTGGTTCAATAGGGTTGTAGAGGAACTAGAGCTCGAGATAGAGAAAGATAGAGAGAGAGGGGGAGAGTGAGGAGAGAGAGAGAGAGAGAGAGAAAGCATAACCAAGGTCGTCATTGCACTTGACATAGGTCGCACCGTTAATAGAGCGCATTTGATTGGCAAGCGATGAAATACCGATATGTACATTGCATTTGAACATTAGCAACGTATTTATGCACTTGAAATGTGGTATCAAAGGTTAAAGTAATTGGGAATGTTGATGTGTGGTTGTGGATGCTTTAACGCGGATACCGTAATAATTTGTTATTTTTTTTTTTTTTTTTTTTTTTTTTTTGTTTGTATTTAGTAAATAAATCGACATTTGACTTAATTGTCTACATTGCTGACCTTACTGTTAGTATCAATTTCATATGTGTGCACATGGTATATAAAATCTATGATAAGCTCGCCGATGTCATAAAAGCCCATAGAAAAATTCTAATGTACTCTGCTTATTTTTGCATTATGAATTTTGTAACAAATTTACCAGATACATAATTATTTTATTCGTCTAATGGTCAATCAATTGATATTATGAAAGAAGAGAGGCATAGGGATTATGTATGTTTACGTAGTTGAAAGGACTAAAAGTAGATTAAGTGGACGGGGTCGAAAGACTTTTTTGTTTAATTTTTTTTTTTATTATTACTTTCTTTTTTTTTTTGTTTTTTTATTGTTTTATTGTTTTACTCGAGAGAAAATCAATAATGTTTTATATAAGTGTGCGTATGTGTGTTTGTGTGCATCTATGCTTTAGAGCTATCGTTACATGCGTTTACTTTCGCTCTTTTTGTTACAGATTTTCTTATTTGTCATTTAAAATCATCTCGTGTGATAAAATGTCAGCTGCCACTTGTTCACGTATACGTACGACATCAACAACAAATTCAAATTTGAATGTTGTTGCCGAGACTACAGTAAATGTAAAATTGTGTAATATGGCTTGCAGTTTAACGAGCGGTAATAGTCTACGATCCAGTGAATCATCGGATCCCTTAGAATCCGATTATAGCGAAGACGCCGATGAAGAAGAGCCAGAGGATGGTGAAGATATAAAACACGAACATAACACTGACGATAGAGAGAATGATTACGATTATGACGAAAATGCTGCCGAAAATGAAGAAGACAATCAGAATGATGACGATAATAATGATGACACTGATGATGGCGGCGAAGATGTCAATGAAACAAGTAATGAAGGAGACGACAACACTGAAGATAATAGCGATACCGATACGGCAAGAAGTCTTAGAATATACAGTTTGGATGATTTCCAAATAATAAAAACTGTAGGTGAGTCTTACGATATCCCTTACGATGTTTTATCTCAATTATATTGTAACCCCATATATATATAGTAATTGTTAAAAGAAGAAATCCAGTGTTTGCTTGTTGTATTGAAATTGACTTGCACTAGATCGTTTTTGCGACAATTTGATATAAAAGTTAACTGCATCAAGTGGATCACCTCTTTGGATCATATTCCATCACATTTTAAACTTCTGACGGGAGAAAGCACTTTTTATAGCACCAAAGTGTACTTTTATGACGAAAATAGGTGAAGAATAATGGAGGAAATGTAGATTCAGTAAACTGGAAACGCGTCAGTGCGCTTAGTCAGTTAATCAATCAGTAAACAAGATAAAATTATTGGTATATTATCACGCAAAATAAATGAAGACTTTAATTAGTTGAGACGGTGCAGTGCGTTTAATGATCGGCATTGCCCGACTGTAAGTTGTCGACTTGTTTTTAAAAAAATAGGGTTATTAGAAAAAAAAAAAAAAAGAAATAAAAAGAAAAAGAAAACACAAGTTTTTCGGTTATTGATTGATTTTAATCATATCTTGTGTTTATTTCGTTCAGAATTATTTTGTTTACATTAAGTGATGCATGATGCATGATGCATAATGCATTTGTATGTGTGCTTATGTATGTGTATAGGAATATAATCCATTTCATTTTACAAATTTGTATTAAAATTTTCCGCCTCTATGCACACACATTTTCTCAATGCCATACAAAATTGTTTGATTTTTCTTCGAAATCGTAAAAAAGTAGAAAATTGATTACAAGAAAACATAATATTTCATTGCTTCAAAGTGCTCGCAGATATACACATTCATATATGTCGTAGATGTATTTACATGCATATCTATATATATATATATGTAAATGTAAATGTGCAAATGTATAAACAGATATACATTTTATAAAGACATTGGTTTATGTTCGTGTTCGTCGTCGGTCGATGCAGCTATTACTTTTACTGTTGCTGTTGTTGTTGTTGTTATTGTTTTCGTCATTTCTGTTGATGTTTTACTGTCTTAAATACCATAAGAGCTTGCCGCATTAAATATTAGCAGTAATGAGTCACAGTAACGATCGCTTTTCCTTTTACGAATTCTTCATACATTTATTTTTATTTGCTTGCTATATGCTCGGCTTTATATAGTATAGGCTTGTCTATTTATGGATTAGCTACATAACCGCCTTAAAGTGTGAAAATTACTTTCCACAAAAAGTACAAATCTTATCTGTTGCACGTAGATACACGGAGAAAAATAATTTAAGTGCAAAAATCAACTGTATTAACTTATACGACAGCAGTACATTACACCTGATTACAATACAGTTAGTTATTCGATTCGTAGTGTCGAATGCTATCATTTCGCGAATGCAGCAGATTTCAAATCGTGAACATATCGTTATTACAATATCTTAATCGTTTTCATTCGTTTCTTTCATGTTTGAAGTTTTGAAAAATTGAAATTTTAAAGCTAATCCTAAACGTTCTCAATATAACTATAGAGTTCTCAATATAACTATGCAACGATAGAGTGAGCGAAAAATTCATCTATAACTAACAACTTTCAAGCGGTGGCAGAAAATGTGAATTTATTTATTCCAATTAAAATTAATCAAAATCCTTGAGGATTTGGATATCGCCCAAAATCGATTTTATATTGAATGCATGCACAACTTTGCACTTCGATCACTTTTTGCCCCACCCACGTATAAGGGGTGTGGAACATTAAAGGAATTCGGAAGTCTATGCCAACGTTTTAAAAATACCATAAGTTCCTCGAACCGGGAAAGAATGAATGAAAGGAAAAAAGGTGCTTTTTGCGACTTGTATATGTTTTTTGCTGTCAGAAAGGTCAAAAGGCATTGCAAATTGAAACAAAAAAAAGAAAAAGGAAAGATAGATACAAAGATCTTTCGCTACTACATCTAACATCACCATCTGCGTCCATTAAGTGAAGGCGTCAAACCAATCGAGCCGGCTCGTCGTCAGTTTTTTCGTGCAATTAAAAATTAATCACACTCTCTTGCATCAAAAAAAAAAAAAAAAAAAGGGAGCTTTGGGAAATGATTTATGCATTTTCTTTTCGCAAAGAACACCGTCTCGAACCGGGAGCCACGGTAAGCAGCACCTAGCTGTGATAACTACTAAGTTCGGACATAATATTTTGAATTATTCCTTTATATTACATAAAACATTCATGATTTCATTATTTGTTATTAGTAAAGAGCTTTTCGTTTCCTCTTAATTTTTATGCCAAATCTGCTTAAGGTCATTGAAGGCAATTTCAAGTATTTACATGAATTACTTCCATCACATGTTAAGTTTCAATAATTTGACATAGAGTTCAGAGAATATATATTTTTTCATTACTGGCTACAATTATACTACTGGGTCCAAGCAAAAAAAAGGCGAATTTGCTTTTAGTCCGTAAAATCGTTGTTCTTTCAAATCAAATTTCACTTTAAAAATATTTCTTGGTAACAGTTTGCCCTGTTAAAATCGCCTTGATTTTTGAGTGACCTTGACGCGGTTTTTCCGCTCTTTTGCTTGCCTTTTGGGTGATATTCGCTTGATTGATTGATCCTTTGTTTCCGGGTCGTATGCGCAGATCTAAATCCCGTCTCTCGTCGTAATCGCTGATGAACTTTAAAACAATTCCTTTGCTCAGCACCAACATACAATGTAAAAATCGCGGAAAGAATAATTGTTTTATTTTTTTACTTATGTGTCGTACAAAATCAAACGCAGTCGAAGCATCAGTGATGTTCATGATGTGAAATGTGGCACAATGATTGTGTCTGGCATAGTGCTACCAGAATATGTAACATAAATAAAAAGTTTTCGAATTATAAGCAAACTCACCACATTTTTCGGACACGATGTACATTCAGCCGTATTAAGCAACACTCTTAAGATTAACGGTTTAAACTGCGCAAGCATAGAGAAGATCATCGCTTGAGAGCAGGGCAAAGTTAATTGTTCCTTTGCAATTTATTTCGTCTTCAAGTACTAATAAGCGAACTTCGGTCCAAGTGTGTTACACTGTGCCCTTATGGCCAAGAATTTCAATCAGAAAAGCATGGAGCAAAGGCAAAGTAAAGAGTACACAATTTTAGGCTGTTAAAGCTATTAAAAGCGAACGCAAGCCGAAGTAACTGTATATGCAGCGTATTATAAGGTATGATCTACTACACTGAGATTCGAAGTCGCGATCACAGACTTGGCTGTCGCGTGTCTTATTCCCTGGGCTGTGCGGTAAGCCAATATTGTCTTGAAGTCTCATCTTTCCGTTTGATTTTCTAGGTAATGTATAAAGGTCTCGTACAAAAAGAAATAAGAATTTTAGGTAAGAAGGATTAATTCGTGCAAGCAGAAGCATCAGTCAATTTACGGGTTCGATTATGTTTCTGTCGACGTTTATGTTAACTTCAATTAAGTGCAATGAGAAGTAAGTGAGAGAACTATTATGGAGGAGGGAGTGGGGATGGAATAGCAAGAGGACGCCGAAGGACTTGCATACTTGCATACTCTATAGTACAAATGTATATAATTGCGTTTGTGTTTTTATGCTTGTATGTTTTTATTGCATTATTACATATGCATATACCGTGCGTAGGGACCAACGTTAAGGTGACGCTCATATATCAAAAGATTTCTATTAATTGAAGGATTATGTCGATGATTCTTAACATACTTGGATGGATTGTTCTTCATAAATTACGGTCAACGTGTTTGTATACTTTTAAGCATTTTGTAGGTCAAATACCAACTTAAGAATAATAAATTAATCATTTACAACCTTAATAGACCTATGAATGGATAGATTATGGTAATAAATGTTTCAATGGGCGCATTTATGTCTGTTTAATCAAAGCAATAGCAAATGTATCGCGTACAGTGAATGCTTCGTTTCGATGAATTTGCTTTTAATTAAATAATTTTATATTTGCCATGAATGAATTCGTGAATGCCTGTATACGCATATAGTGACTATGATCATATATATGTAGATTCTTGCAACTTTTTCCAATGAACCAAATTGATATTTCGTAAACTTGAACAACAATTTAAGAGAACTGTGTAATGGTTTTTAATTTTTTTCGTTCGGTTTTTTTTCTGCATTTTCTTGCCTCTTTCAAGTATAGACGTTAATGAAATAATTAGTAAGTCATTGTCATAGCGTATTCAAAATTGAAAAGACGAATAGAAGAATTACAAAAAAAAAACAACATATAAGTATATGTATGTGTTATTAGGCAATTCTTGCCGTATGTTTTCCATCGCAAGTAAATATTTAAAAATCACAATTTTTCGTGCATTAGTTGGTCGATTGCTTATATTTTGGATCGGGCTGCGTTGCCTACTTTTAAAAAAGTGAAGTAGTTTTTCCATTTTTTTTTTTTTTTTTTTTCTCTTTTGAAAATATCTTTCCGTGTAATTTAACATTTATTTTTATATTAATTTCAAATGTTTTTTGTTTTTTGATTTTTAATATTTAAGCAATCATTCAGTGTGTGACTCCTATATAAGCAGGCAGGGTAGTGGCTGTAGGTTAAGGAATAGATAGATAGTTGTTGTAATGAAATAAGGTTAAATTTCTGCTTCATTTGTTTCTGATAGTAGTAAGTTCTTAGAAATTGTGTTTTCGGAATTATCTCGTTCGATATGAAAATACATCTGTGTCAAAGTGGATCTTCCTGTATCTTAGTTTGAAAGTTTCAAAGTGCAATTAAGCAGAGAAAGAGCGGACAGGTGAAGTCATAAAACCGATGAATTGATACGCGGATAAAGGAAGAAAGGAACGAGGAAATTAACGAGCGAGTAACCATAATAGATGCGCACATATGAAAGCGGAATTTCAGTATAGAACCTACACGTTCATTGAACAAAAATGATGAAAATAATTTATTCGTAACATTGGCTGTTCATCGTTGCTTATGCATATTTCCAATCAGTCTAGTAATTTGCGAATGCCGCGCCAAAA